AGATGGATGGAGACTGTGAATAAGAGAGGTACATGACCCGTTCATGACATGAGCTAGTACATCTCTCTGTCAAAACGCATCATTTGTTAGTACATTAAGTCAAGATTATATTATATTGAGCTCACTCATTCACTTGGTTTGTCTGCTTTGTCTTCAGCCACTATCCACAACAAAGAATCACATATTCCTAATTGATTTTGCTAGGAAATTAAGCACTAATTGACCTGTTAACTAATCAAGAGTATATTTCTGTGTAATGAGCCTACTAAGTAACTCCTTGATGAGGCCAACCTTACCATATAAAGCCACCAATCAGAGTTCTTACACACCAGACGGTACACTCATCTAGAAATTACTCAGAATGGCCACATGATGAGAAGAAAGTCTGTGTTCATTAGGTTGCCAAGCACGTTGAAGACAAAACAACACAGTGATAAGTGACTATTTTCTTTTCAGTGTCAATTTGACCAGACTGACCCTTTGTTATTTGTAGGCACTGTGATTTCGGAAATGACGCCTTTTCTCCTGCTCTAGACAAGCAGGCATAATAGCATAAGGAGTGAAATTAAAAATCACAAATACAACTTTCCAAAAACTATAGATCATCAAAGGCTTATTTAAACGTCAATTATTTCAACAGTAATTATGTCTGCTCGTTTTCTATCCGCCGAATAGCTGATCAAAGTACACAAAAAAGGTGAAAACACCATGCAACACGAGTTTATATAACATGAGACTCAATCAATACTGCTGTGCTTCTAACTACCATAAACCCCTAGTGTACGCCAGAGTTCCCCTTTCTTTTACTGCGGTTCCCCCTGAGTGGCAGAACATGTGTGAGCGCTGACACTGAACATGTTCCCCTCAGACAACAGAACCCCAGGAACCCAACAACAATGACAATGACAACACACACAGCTGCCTACACTGCTGTGAAGTTTCAATTACTGGTAGACTTGGTGGCTGGCTACTGCCAGTCAGCCTGTCAGGGAGGGGAGTGACTAGTGGTGGAAAAGCCTGAAGGACAAGCAGTCTCACCAGGGTGGTAGGAACCATCTAGGTTACACTTGACAGCACTATATAATAAAACATACTATGTTGCATTAAGAAGCCCTAAAACTGGTTGCTACCGGAATAGATATGCAAAATAGTTTGCTTCATACATACTTAATTTAGAGCTTCATTTAAAGCTTAATTTAGAGGTTGGCAAGCCGACAGTGTGGTCATTACTCTATAAAACGCAGCAACAATAGGCATACCAGTTGTATATAAAAAGACAGGAAGTGAAAGGGACATTCAACTCAAGTAGAGCAAGTAGAAACAGGTGTCTTACATCCAACTTGTCCACGACAAGGAAGAAAATAGTTGCATGCCGATTATTTAAGGAACTTAAACTTGAAATTGACCTCTTAAAATATGCTGAAATTAAACGTAGTTAAGCTTTGGCTTTCCATATAATTTACTTTATTTTAGTACTTAAAATGGCAAGAATCAGACCCAGGATACAGAAGAACCAGAATCTATAAGCAGAATCTAAATCAATAAAATCTAAACGATACCCAACCCTAGTTTAACCGCATGTCTCAAGGCAATTCTGCAGAATGGGTGTCACTGTAATTGGTCCAGCTATGGTTGCGGAGGTTATGGCCATTATAGGTGAGCGTGGGGAAGCATAACTGCTCACAGCATCGCCTTCATTGTGTGTGTGTGTGTGAAGTAGAGGAGGGAATGCATGGGGTCCTGCTGCTCACCGTGACCTGTGTCTTAATGAGAAGGACAAATCAATCCCGCACTGGACAAAGAACACAAGAACTACAGCTGCCATAGACAAATGTTTTTTCAGCGGCAATGAACATGAAAGCAGGTCAATTCACATTCAATTAAAACAATGTGAAGTGCAGTAAAATCCCAGACAGAATAACATCGAAATTCTGACTAAACCTTGTTGTCTCCACGTTTTCTACTTCTTTCTCCTATCTATATCAAACCAATAGAAAACAGCCCTCCACAGCTGGACAAATAGATTGATTGATGACAGACGCAATGTTTACTCATGTAGTCGAAGCTCTCCTTTGTCACTTTCCACAAGACTGGAAAAAAAACCAAAAACAATATCATTTCTCTTGACACTAAAACTGCCTGTAGGCTGAGATAAATCCAGCAGTTTTCAAAACACGCTCACTTGTTTCAGCAATTTCCCAAAAAGATTTTCTGGGAACACAGCAGACTATTGTGTATCAATCACTAAGATTTTAGGAGTCAGCACTAGATTGTTGTTAAGCCGTATATTCCAGTGTAAGTGCAATGCGGCACATTTCATAGGGTCAAATAATAGATTATTATTATTATCATCATCATCATCATCATCATCATCATCATCATCATCATGGTTGCAGCACTATAGCATAATCATAGCACTACACACTGTAGTGAGTATTAGCCAACAAGCCAAAAATTGTATGAAAGTAAAAATAAAGAAAACTGAAAGTCTCTTGTTTGGTTTGTCTGTTCTGGGCTACTGTAGGAAAATGACATTACAACATGACACACTCTGTAGAGAGGACTCAGTCCCTCTAAAATGGGCAAAAATGGCTCATTGTAACAAAAACACAACAATTCTTATTTTAAGGTGATTATACACAAATAAAAACATCACTCTGAATATTATGTTCCATTTCTGCAAAGATATCCCTAAATCTTACACACTGGACCTTTAAACCTATATCTTGATTAATTGCTCAAGGACATAACAGTGCAGCCTGTAAGATAATACTTGTGGTGTTCACAGGTTTACCAGGAAAAAGGACTGAACAAATCACCTCTGAAAGGTCTATCAGCCACCAGATTATGTGCTTAGTACAGCAAACCACAACCTCTCCGGAGCTCTTTCTCCATCAGCTTATTGACTTTGCCTAGCAATCAGAACCAATTTCACCTCCCAATTACTGATGCTTATGTGCTTTACAACAATGTAAATCTAATTTGTTGGGCAACCTATGAAGAGGACGTCTTGTGCTTAATGAGAAGGGTAGTTAAAAGCACCTTGCGTGAAAATGAGCAAAAATGGGCTCACATGCACATATTTCAAATTCAATATAATCCTTTTGGTTCTTTTTAGTTCTTTTTGAGTAAAAAGAAAAGTCTCACACTAAGACACGGCAGAGAAAGAATGACAGGCAAGAGACAGGGACAAACACACACACAAAAAAATACCTTCAAGACATGTTTTATGTTTCATCAAAGATGAGTTCACTGTGGGTAGCGGACAATCCCAGAGTTTGACAAACACAGAGTGAAATGACAATGGGTGGGAGACGTCTCGGGCGAGAGGCTGCCTTTTAAAAAACGGAAAAGTCCATTTCCAGTTGAAAAGAACAGTGGCTGTGTGGAAACGTCTGACTTGACAATTACATGAGTGGTGCGAACGGCACTGCGCCTCAACTGATAACCCGTCGGATTCTATTAAAACTCCAGCACTCCAAAAGAATTGCTCAAACTGAGGAAATTATCACACAGGCACACACACACACACACACACACACACACACACACATTTTTAAACAGTAAAACCCTCAGACAATTATTCTGTTTCTGAAATATGTGTGCTTTAAGGAAGTAGAGACAAACTGGAGGGAGAATAGAAAAGTTACAGACAAAGACTGTATATGACTGTGTGTGTACTATGCTTAGTCTCATATGGAATGCATAGCCACTGCAGTGCTGCTATCTGTAGGTTAGCCTTGGGGCCACAAGCAAAAGCTTCATAGAGTCTAGGAGGGAGTTCTCTTAAGTACATGGAGTTACTACTACAGGCAATGACATGCACAAGGACTGTCCTCTGCGACCGCTCAGTGAGACCCACCGCCCACGATCCTGCTCATAGATTACAGATACAAAGCAGGTGCTACGTTCTTGCCCTTCCTCCACTCTATTTGTCCTGTCTCCCTCCCCATGAAAAACAACCTAAATTAAATTACAGAACACCTGCAACTGAAACGGCTTTCTTCACAGACGCTGAAGGGAAAAACACATCACATCATGTGTCTCCCACACTTGCCATCCCTCTCTCTCTCTCTCTCTCTCCTCGTGTCTGCCTTTTTTTTCATTCGACTGGATCGCCGTTCCAAATGAGGAATCCCTCATACACTTGTCCTGCGGCGTGGAATCACGTCAACGCTCCTCTCCTTCTCCCTCTCTCTTGCTCAACAAAATGATTCATTTTTCTATTACGGCGATGAGCGTGTGAAATGAGCTATATAATCAATAGCATAGGTTTGTAAACAGCAGCCGCACTCCGGGGAAAATGTGTTTTCTTTTTGAAAACAATATGCTGCCTTTGTGAGTGTGGTAAGGAACGCTCATCTGACAATGTTTACAAGGGCAATTTACGGGAAATAAAGACACAGGCTGCCTATAATGAAGGTAGCTTTTATAATACAGCAGGATGAACAGGCAAAGATATGGTAGAGGACAAAAATACCGAACTGCAAGATGTGGATACAGTAAAGGGGGGTTTACTTACCGTTTGTTTTTTAAAATGCACTTAAATTGTGCTCAGAATTGGTATAATGTAGATAAAGCTTTAATGTCTTGAAATAACTATGAAAAAACAGTTAAATCTTTGTATGTACGTTTGTGCCAACACACTCAGGGTGGTTTTATGAATTACTGCTCACAGCGTTGCTCACGCTCTCACAGCATTTGTCACTGTACCAGCCATAACCTGTCGATTACAGCAAATAGGTTCACTTCTGTGTGTCTGTGATAGAACAGGAATGTGTGAAAATAAAATGGGACCTGTCTCCATGTAAACATTGCTCCCATCAGTGAGTCCGTGCTTGCAAGGTCATACTGTTAAAATGTTCAGTGTCTATATGATACTGTGGTGCAGGATTATCCAACTGAATGCTGAGGATGTATGAAACTGTTTAGCAAGATAGAATGAGATGTTAAGCTCGCAGCAGCTGCCACACGTCGAGGTTGTTTGTGGACAGACTTACAAAGAGTTGAGCGCGCAGCTTCTCATCTTCGGTGGCAATCCTCTCTCTTATTACAGCCTGCTGGAGGCTCTCCTGGGCCACGGCGCGCTCCACAGACAGAAGCCTGGACACTTCTCCCCGGACCTGGGACTGGGCATCAGCCTGAGCCTGGGCTGCTGACCGAGCCTTCTCTTCCTCCAGCCTGTGGAGCATCAACATTTTATATGATTAATACACTTTATTTTTAATTTTTTTTTTCAAATTATCACACGATTATGATTTGCAAAAACACAGCAGAACTTAAGACTGCACGAGGGGTATAGTAACAATGCACCTCATGGTATATACTACTCCACTAAAGTATATACTACTCACTATTCTTCCCCCTGCAGCTTTCTCTATAATGCATGAATCAAATTTCTGTGTTGCACTGTCTACTGCACTGCACACAAAGGTGCCTTTGTACAACATGTCAAAAGCATAAGCTTCCTTTTGCAGGTTTTGTTTATTTCATCCAAAATCAAGCTACTTTAAAACAAAAATCTTTTGAAAGAACATACAGGTATCTATCGCTCAAAGACATAAATTACATTAAATGATCATCTTGTTAGGCACAGATATTGAATATCTGCCTCATGGATATCAAATGTTATTTTTCAGAGAAGAAAACATTTTTTTGGTAAACTATCAAAAGTTTACCACTGCCCACGTTCACACGCCTGCTATACTGCATGCTGCAGTGTCTCCCAAAAGAATCAAAAGGGTCAAAAACACAATTACGGTGCTAATGAAGCATAGATATAGGCCAATATACTTGTATATTAATTTCCAACCCTAACGTCAGATGCATCCATAAACATGCCCTTGCTATTCCACAGCTTGCAAATAGAGGGCAACATTGAGAAGTCACACTCAATCACACACTGAAACTAAAGTTTTAAGTTGAACTCTAACTGCCTCAGTGTCAAAAACCTGATGTACCGCAGTCAGTTAACAACTGTCAGACAGTTCAAATCAATTCATATCATTTCCAAATAATTTACAGAGAAGAGTGATTTGACTATCAATATCAAACAGAGTGTAACAGACACTTCCATTTCTCCAAAACAAGAATCATCAATCCAATGAAATAGTGATATAGACGGAGGCAGTACACTCTCTGCAGACACAAGACCACCATTTGAACCCTGTCACTAGGTTCTCATAGTTGCCTAGCAACGCACTCCCTACTTGGCGACAGTGTGCTTGATTGGAGAAGAGGAGGAACGTCCCTGAAAGTCTTCCTCTGCCTGGAATCAAACGGTGGTGGCAAGGTAAAATAAACACAGAACAGAGACAGCGAGTGCCTGGGTGAATTATAACAGACTGAATGAAGAAGATGAGGGTCTTAATAAACTTCTGCCTAAGAAAAATCCTAAGACAGCCTTGATGAGAAGTGGGATTGGAAAACGGTTCAATACGAAATTCCTTCACATTCAAATGAAACATCTATGATCCATCCCTTGCTACAGCTCTTATTTATCATTTTCTGTAAGACGTCTACAGCAGAACCACCATTAAACCAAAGTAGTTGTTTTATAAATGGTGAATTATTAGAATAACATTTTTTCCTGTGTTTCTATAATTTTCAATGTTGTGCTTTAAAGGTGGGACATTTTTGTTTTATTCATGAACACTTAAAGTTAAATGCATGACTCATTCACAGCCTCATTAGGTTTGTGCATTGCTCATTATGATAATTTAAGTGCATCATCCTGGTTGTCAAGTGTGTGGTAACAGGCATAGATACAGTATGTGGCTTTTTCTCCTCTTGGCCCTGTTTTTACTGATATTACAAGCACCGACTGATCTGTCAACGTGAAGGGTTTTCATCTTTTATTCTATTTCAAAAAATCTCATTCATCTCTTCACTCACCTGTGAATATACTCAAAATTTAGACAGTGAGGAATCGTGATGGACAGACTAGTCTAACTGATCACCATCCCGTTGCCTTTGGCTTTGAGCAGCTGAGGGTAGGTCTAATAAAAAATATGTCTGATGTCTTAAAGCTGCCATTTGCCCTGCAACACCACTAAATGTCAGAGAGCAGGGGAGAGCAAGACGAGACGGTGGAGACGGAGGGAAAGAGGGAGAGGAAGGAGCGAGAGTGAGCGGTGGCAACATGACATGTTTGGCCCTGAGGAAGTGAAGCAAAGAGGGTGTGAGGCAGAGAGTGGGAGAGATGGAGGGAGACGGAGAGAGACCAGCCATGTCCAGTCTCACAGTCCACTGGGCTGCACACGTCAGCACACTCCATCCATCATCTGGCTCCAACTCCAACACACACATACACACACAGGGAGCCTCCTAATGGCCTTTTACATTCACCATTTCCATACAGTCCACGCCTGCCTACACTGCTAATACACCTAAGCTACCTCAAGAAGCTTTAGCTGTTGCTACTACTATGACAGAGAAGAGACTGTATACAGCATTTTTGGAGGAGGACTTTGGTGGTACAATAAGTGGACCCTTTGTAGCAATTTGCAGAAAATGCAGGAATTTGGTAGTAAGTAAGCCTACTTTAGCCAAAAAAGTTAATACATGTTCAATGAGATAAAACTATTCTGCCGAAGCAAACTGACCTCATGAAGCTTTGTTACAAGAACTTTGCCTGCACTAAATTAATTAATGGGTTAGGGTTAGGGTTCAGTTAAAAACTGAAATTTATTAACTTACATAATACCTAAAAGTAAACCAAACCATGTCAAGTGCTAAGGTGACCAAAAGCTGCACCCTGGACAAGTTAAAGAAAGGAAGCCCGGGAAATAGACAGCCTTGCAAAAACGTCCTTCTACTGACTTCCTGGCAAGTGCTAAGCGAAGCAAAGACTGCTATCACTAGCTGGATGCTATCTGTCTGCTTCACCTCTATTGCTTTCCAGTCATTATTGCCCTGTCCCTGGGATATTGGACGCATTTTTCATTCCACTGTAGAAGATTGGCACTGGGTAGGAAAGGGGAGCTTTGAGGTAGAGAATGGTTGAGTCAGACAGAGAGTGGAAAAAGACAGGAAAGAAGAGGAAAGAAAAAAATCTCATGTCTTCGGAGGATAAGTGGATGATGTTTGGCCCGGCACGGGGGAAGAAAGGGAGGATAATCTTGCCCCAGTAACCTGTGTTTTGATGGCTCAGTGGATCGGGCCTCGAAAACAGAAAGATGGAAAGACAGAACCGGTGAGGTATTATTAATTTGAAAAGGAGAGGAGTGCAAGTGGGTCGGACTGTGTCGGTCTTCCCAGAAAAGTAACTCACTTATTTTCAGGAGATGACCTTGAACAGAAGTACTTTGGTTATACTTCTTTTAGGACACTATTCTTAAAACTGGCAGAGATTAGATCTGTGGCAGTTTATATGAAAAATGCATAAGTTTAGTAGCTGAGAGGCTGCAGTTTAGGGTTAAGTGACTGTATTCAGGGCAAGCTTCACTTGTGTGTATGTGTGAGTGTATATACACACTTTCCAATAACAATGGTAAATGCAGACATGGCCAAAAATGATGTGCGGCCAAAACTGCAACAGCCAATACAAGTACATTAAGATATCATTAGCTGATAATCCGCAGAAAATCACTGCCCTAAATATCAAAACAAAATAAATAAATTCATGTCTTCTACCCTTTCCCGCTTTATTTCTTTACCTTCTGTCTCTCTCTCTCCTCAGCTCTTCATCCATTAATGTTTCCTGTTGTTTACCTGTCATCTACACAAGATGTGTCTTAATACAGTCTGCCTGGCAGGATGGATTCTGACAGACCTGCATAACAGTGCAGACTCGGCCCAAGTGCCTTGAAACACAGGCATTTAAAGGCCCAATGCAATATTGATGTTAGGAATAATGTCGCTGAATGCTGGCTATGAATATTTTATGGGGCTATGCACTCTCCCTGACACACACATGCACTCACAAATAAACACACATACACCACACCTGACTATGGGTGCTATGAAATGCTGGGACAGAGATAAAACTGAGTGTATGGGAAACAAAGGACAGTGTGGTGAGAAAATTAATTCAGAAGGGCTCCCACTCTGCAGAAGAGACATACAACCTATTTTTACTCCCCCTATACTTTGACCACAACTATGAAGAGATAACAGCAATGTTTTTAGTGCGACGACCAAGCACACTGTCAAAAGTGAATATCACACGTTGGCACTCTCACCTCTGTTGTCGTCTCTTCAAATATCATACCTAGTGCATAAAGCTCCCAACATATAGTCATTTGATACACTGAAAGAGGCAGAGCGCACAGTCCCTCTACAGTACTTAGTGTTGTGGAATAGGTTCAGAGGCCTGATGGTTATTATTCTGTATAGCTACCAGGGTGTATGGACCCTAAACACTGGGATGATATTAGAAATTAATTCAAGTTTATAGAACTCCTGCCAACTGATTTTATCTGTTCTGTTAGAGCCCAAGTAATAGACAAACCACAGACAGTAGATTTGCTAGGAGATTGGACAGAGTCAATAACCATTACTGTTCTACTGAAAAGGTCAGCAGCAGGCAACAGTATTGAAAAATGCTGAATTTTTTTCTTCTCATAACTGTATATTTACAGTTCAATAACTGCTGAAATGGCCTTATACACTGGGGATGGAAGCACATTTACAACGATATAACCAGTTTTACAAAGGCAACATGAATTGGAAGAAAGTGCTTTGTTGGAAATTACATTTATTCATGCAAGTAGTGAACCACGAGGATGATCACATCACACACATACACGGGTATCCCCAGAAAGAAAAGCAATAAACAAAATGTACTGCTGAAGCCTGAGAAGACGGTTGCACGTAGTTGCTATGGTGTTGTTTTGGCGCTTGGTGTAGGTGTCGGAGCGTTTTGCACAATTGATAGGGTGGTATTAGATAGTTAGTTTACAGTACCAGATGGTTGGTGGGAAATCATTAGGGGGTTGCTAACTGCTATGATGTTCTGTAGGGTTGGGTATTTCTGGGTGATAGCTAGGGTGTTTGGGATAGCTAGATTCATAGTAGCTGCAAGGTAGCTGGTTGATTGTTTGGGAGCATGAGGTGGTTGAAAAGTGCAATACACATACAGAATATTATTATGATTATTGATAGCTGGAGAGAGATGGGAGTGGGGAGAAAGAGAGGGGAATGACATGCAAAGGGCCACAGGTTGGAATTAAATCCTGGCCGCTGTGGTAAGGACTCAGCCTTCCACCAAAAGTCCACCAAAAAGTAGCTGGGGAGTACTATGTTTTTGCAGTAGCCGCAGTTAGAATATCATGAAGAAATAGCAAATGAAAGTGCAGTCACAGAATCTGATGAAAGACTAGCAATGTTGCTGATTCAGACACATTTTAAAAGAAGGAATCACAACTCCCCAGACACAATACCAACTAAATCAGGTTGGATTTGAGAACTTTTTGTTTTTTAATAACCTTGCAACTTTCTAACTCTGTTAAAATGAGTTAGGGGTTCTGTGTGTGCGTCGGTGTATTTATTTCAGTGTGAACAAAGATTAAAGATGAAAATAAACTAAATGTAAAACTCCGTAGTTTAGACTATCTGTCTGCGTCTAACCATAAAGAATTTATGAAAGAGGCTGGCTGGTTAGTGGGAAGAGAAGGCAGAAGCTCTGAGAAAAGGTCAGTGTTCTCACTCAAAAGTCTGACATGCAATTATATCACACAAGCCAGCACAAGCTGTTTGACTGCTAGCTGAAATAATGGGCAGAAGTTTCACAACAACGACTAACCTTTAAGTGTTCGAGTTGGACACTCAAACACATGCATTTCATGCACAGGAAGGGAGAGAGAGAGAGGGAGGCAGGAAGAAGGCATGAAAAGGAGGGAAGAAAATAGATTGAGAAATAGAGAGGGAAGATTGAGAAACAGACAAAGGAGATGGGTGGATAAAATGCGGAGAAACAGAAAGGAAGGGGATAAGGGAGGAATAAAAAGATAAGACAGGGAAGGCATGATGGAGGAAAGCCTGAGAGAATAACCGAGAGAAGAAGACCTGGATTGAATGGTGACGCAGGATGAGTTAGGTTGAGGGAAGCGAGACGGGATGGCGTAAGAGTTCTCTCCCCCTCGTCCCTCCTTCTCTCTCATCCTTTTCTCTGAGTCGTTCTGCTCTGATGCCTCACAGAGAAGCGGCAGAGGCAAATCTGCTCCCTGCAGCCGCTCCTTGCAACAAATGAGTTTAGGCTGCACCCAAATGAACTCCTCACAGAGCCTGTACTTCACTCCTACCAGAGGAAAACATGCAAAGCCAGATCTCTGGAGTTCAAGCATGGCACTAAAGCCAAACAGAGGAAATACTACCTAATCTAAATACCACTGTTCATCAAAACTCCACAGATCAGTGTACCCTACACGGCAATATTGCATAGAATAGAATGGAGGAATTATACTAAGTGTGGAAACAATTTGATGTCTAAGGGGTCTAATATTCTTTAACCACACATCATTTTTAGGCTTATTTTGGCACTCTTATTAACGGCTTATCTATCAGTTTAATAGCTCTGTTTTATAATCTGCATTTATTATTTTTGACTTATTTATTTATTAAGTAGTTAGGATGACTTACAATAAAAGGGCATGTAAGAATTCGGCGTACACTGTGAGGACATTTTAACAACGGACAAACTGCAGGAGCAATTTTTGGGGTTGAGCACGACCTTGAGATTTTGGCTGGATCTTATATGTGTGTGTGTACATGTATGTGTGTTCTGTCCAAATGACCTGGGGGTTAACATATTCTTCCATTTCCCTGTGTTTAAGCTGTGCAACAGTTTCACTGCAGGGTTCTATAACCAGAGAGGCACTGTGCAGTCTTGTTAGCTGAGCTTTGATATACTCACACACACAAAAAATGAACCTCTTACTTCTGTTTTGCAGCAACAGCTATCCAGTCTCTTCCAACACAACAAAAGCCACAATCACTGTGCCTCGTTTGCTTTCAACAACCAAAAACTCCCCTTAATTACTGCCTGCACTGTGGGAAGGTGAAAATACCATTGCAATTTAATTACGGTTTGACAGCACGGATGAGAAAAAAGGCACTGTGTTCCTCTCATCTATTTCAATTAAAAGAAAGCATCAGTCACCTTTATCTGTAATAACTACAAATGAATAGAAAAGTTCAACTGTGGCAAAAAAAAGTTGTGGAAGACATTTTTAGTCCTGATGGATAGTGGTGTGTTAGCATAGGTGGAAAGTTTTATGTTTATTTTGTTTATTGTTTTTATAAACAAGATAACACGTAATAACAAGATAAATGTGCTTTTTTTATATTGTATTTATTCATATATATTTTATTATATTTGTGTATGCAATATTAATACTATAGGGTATTTTATATTTTCAAATGTTTAAGCCAAGCAGGTGTAACGGCATGCATACACAGGAGGCGTTTCAGCTTATATTTTAGATCCAGTAGTCGACACAGGCCACGAAAACAGCCAGTGTTTTAACTAACACAATACAAACAAAAACAACCTAAAATGTTACTACAGTGATTGAGTGTTCGGCTCTGCCAAAAGGGGGTGACCTATGGTTAGAAAGATATAGGCTGATCTACAGTATTTGGCATTCCCAAAAGACCAAATTTCTAGTACTGTCAAGAGTAATGACAAAGGTGTGATCACAGATGGTGGTTTATGTTATATGTTAATTTAAATCAAAGGCTGGAGGAGCCAGTTTATATTAATCTACAAACATAATGGGGTGGTGAAAATGTTTGTAGTGGTCTGTTCTGCAGAAACATGCAATAAACAAAAAAAGCTAAGCTAGAAAAAAATTATTTACATCAGGAAAACACCACTGGCTGCAGCCACACTCTGATATAGTCAGGCTTGAAATGTGATAAAATCCTGGCTCCACACAATCTGAACATTTCTTTATGTCACTTCTCATCACTAAAATTAGGTTTGATATACATTTTATTAAATGTTTTCAGCATGATTACATTTTGATTTCTTTTATAATACTTACTGAGTCTAGACAAAGCCCACCACAGAGCACACAAGCCACATTAAACTGTTATTAATATGCCTCTCCACAAAAACACATACATACACACAAGTGTTGGCTAAAGGATGATTGCTTATTTACCATTTCATGTTCATGTTAAGTCTTCTTAAGTGAAAACACAGCCCGTGCCTAGCATGAACAAAAATTGAGGCCTTGAAAGCCACCATGATTTCAATTATTTGCAAGGAGGGCATCATTTTGAAGCACTTACTCCTCTGAACAGACATCAATAATCGAGCTGCAGGAAGCAGTTACATCAAAAAACATAAAATAGCCAGGGAAAAAAAAAAATCAATAGACAAATGATTTCTGAAAGCCACTCGTTAATTTCTCTCTTCTTGAATGAGCCTCAAAAACGAGGCTAATCGCTAGGCTAACACTACCTCCTCCTGGATACAGAAAGGTTGTGTTTTCTTCCCATACAGTACAAGTGCGTTTAGTGGCTAATCACAGTTGTTCATTCGCTAGGGTCTGCTGGAGATCATCCAAGGCTATTAAAGAGGGGGAGCAACACAATTATCAGACATTATGGCACATGCACCTGCTTCTTTAAGGTCACAAAGAAGAGGAGAGGGGAGAGGAGAGGAGAAGAGGAGAGGATAGGATAGAAGAAATCTACTGCTTACATGAAGAGTGTGTTTCTTCATCAGGCAGGGCTAATGTATCACCCACTCAACACCCAGGAAATTACCTCAGGATAGCACCCTCCTTTCTCAGGCATGATTAATTGATCCGGAGAGAACAAGAGAAGGAGAGAAGAGGCAGTGATATAGGGAGAAAAAAGTGCTGATGTGCTTCGGAAGAGAGGTAGATTGGAAACACAGTGGGAATCGGAAAAGACTGGTGCTGACCTTTTTGACTATTAATGAAAGCGGGAAATAGTCACATGTGAAAATGTCTTAGTTTTCTAATGAAATCGCAGAACAGGAATTGACAATGGTGCAGTGCCCTGATTCAATCGATCATGATCTAAAAAAAGGATGGTATGGGAGAGAGGAAAAAGAAAAGAGGGCCAAAGAGAAGGGTAGAGAACTGGACCACAGATTCAAACTTTCAGCAAACCCAAGAATCTTAATTTCAACTCCAAAACAAATAAATGAAATGCTTTGCAACAACCCATTGTTTTTGTGCAAGGTCATAAAGATAACTGGTTTACCATTCAACACCAAACTCTCTCTGGGGTGTGTGTGTGTGTGTGTGTGTGTGTGTGTGTGTGTGTGTGTGTGTGTGTGTGTGTGTGTGTGTGTGTGTGTGTGTGTCTAACCAGGCTTGCAGCTCTCGCTCTGCCTTAGCCCTGTCCTGGTCCAAGCTTTTGTACAGCTCATCAGTGATCTTCTTCCTTAGGGCCTCCTTATCAACTGGGGACAAAAAGAGACGAGAGAAAGAGAGTTAAAGAGAGTTTTTAAGTACACAGCTGTTGTTGTTTGCAGGCATATTGTGTTTGTTGGGGCACTGAATAGAGTCATACTGTTTAAAAAGTAAAAAATAAATAAAAAAGACAGAGAAAGGTGGGTGTTTTGACAATAGTTGTAAATTATGCATTCATCAGTAAATGTGTTGTTTAAAATGAACATTTAAACCATCATGATTCAGTGTCCTGTCAAAAATACTAAAGCAAAATGACATCACCTTGGGCTGACCAAACAATTAACTGAGAAAATAACGGACCGATTAATCCTATTTAATCGTAGTTACACTGCTGTATGCCATCATCTCTGTGCTTTCTGTGAGTGAACGAAGGGTGGGGGGGGGACAGAAATCTTGTCCCTCAGGCTGAAATGCTATGTATTTGTAAGTGTGTGTGTAGTTGTCAAAGGCAGAAAGGTATTAAAGCCCAAAATCATACACAACCCTCAAACAGAAAAATGCCTATATTGCCTCAACACAGACACACACAGACACACAGGAAGAATCACACACATCCCCCATTCTCAAATCTCAGCACCGCGCCACCTTATCTACATATATTCATGTCAGGGACATCATACATGTGTGATTCCATGTCTCCACCAGTCTATCCTGGCAGGTAATTAAGCATGAAAGTAAAGATGCCAGCCTGTGACCAGGCCCAAAACGTGCTCTGAAGACAGAAGTGCCATGCGGTGTGCTGCGACACTGCAGTGATGGGGGGAGTGTCTGAGTGTGTCAAGATTACTCTCCCACTGCATTAGTTAGATGGGATAATCCCTATTGTCAGAGTCTATTATTACGTGTTAACATGTGGTAACGGCAGGCCAGTGGACACGCACACAAAACTGTGCAAAGCCATTTCTTTTTAATATCTTGTACCTACTGTTAAACAAATACAGGAAAAGGCAAAGATTTCTTAAAGCAAAACTGCTCAATCACATTCAGTTACAGTGCCTATTTTGTGGCTGTTTTACAAAAGTGTGGAGCTTCGGAGTTTTTATTATCGTCACGATTTCATCTGTCTCTGTTAAATTTGAACATGTGGTGCTGATTCAAATCTCAAGTGATTTGGAATAAAATATATCTCCATTAGTTTCTCTGTTTTGGGAAAAAAACTAAACAAAACAAAAAGATTAATTGTCTAAAAGTAAATGCAGCAACTCCAGATCAACATTGTATCTTGAATGTTACTTGGCTCAAAGTGTCCTCACCATTTATCTTAGAAATCTATTTAAAAGTCTTTTGAGATAGCGTGTGGACAGAATGACAAACTACAAACCAGGGAAAGAAAAAAAAAAAGTTTCATTTTAGGGGATTTAATTTTCTTGACTTGAGCCAGTAGTGGCTTGAACCTCAGTGGCTTTGATGTGTTCTGCTCATTGTGAAGACTGAAATAAACTGTACCTAATGAAATACTTAAAAGTAATATGTAATTGGCATTTCAGGGACACTCAGGAAAGTTTGAATCTCGTAGGTAGTTGTTAATTAGTCTGAATATTGTTGTTGTTATCTAATAACCCCATAATCGTTAGCTATTAAAAGATTGTAATTTTCTTCAGTCTTCAAAAAAAAAACAGTCAGTGATACCGCTAGATTGATGGACACTAGTTAGTAAGACATGGCTAAAGTCAATGCAACAGCTGTCATGGATGCATAAAATATCGGCTTGTTAACAAGTCCACCTGTCATTTCAGTAATTTCGACCTCCTTCAGCAGCTTTGTCACACCCACATTGTTAATAATTTGCTCTCAAGTGACATTCATGCTTAAACACACAAAACCAGAATATGGTTTAACTTATTCCCTTCTCTAATTTCCAACCTCTATAGCCTTTTCTTCTCTGCAGCAAACGACATATAACAAGAACTCCCAGTATGACAACTATTTGCTACAGTAAAGAGAATGAATAAGCGTCAGGTAGAGGGAGGTTTGGTATGACAGGGCTTCAGAAGAAACACTAGTGCAAACAGAAGCGGTGATTGACAGTTGACAACGTTTTGCTACATAGTGTATCCTCAAAGACAGAGACTGCTGTCACCTACTGTCCAGAGCATGAGAAAATAATATCCATCATGTCTGACAGCACTCACAAGCACCATTGATCTCACTGCAGAGGGGAGTCTAATTACAACTCTGTTAAGAACTACGACAGAAAGACAACCTGTAGGGTTAAAATCCTGACTTTTCTGTTGGTACATCCATAAAGTAACAAGTAATAATACTATTTTACATTAGGTTAATATGAAAATGTCAGATAATATGTTATGGTTGTCTTCTGTCAAAAAAAATAATGCTGCTGGAATTTAACATGTGATTGGCTATGATGATATTGTCAACAATGACTTCGTAAAGAGTCCTCATAGAAATCATGAAATACAACAGCTTACAGTTTATATTAACAATAGATCAAACAACTAGGTGTAATGTGAAAGGGGTTGAAGATAAACTCTCAATACTTTAGTGTCTTTAGGCTCATTGTTTTGGTCTTACATCGTGCAACTTCACAGTTTTGGTTCGGTCTCAGGGCTCCCATCAGAGTTGTTTCAGCCACACCAGGCAGCTGTTTTTAGTGATAAAGCTCTGAAAAAGCCCCTGTACACTACTCAGCACTAAACGGCAGACAAACAAAGTTAAGAGCTAGCCATTAAAAAGCCATATGTTTCCCTCAGAAGTTAGTGGAAACCAAACCAGAGCTAAAACGAGAGTGAATATTGGACTCAATAGCTTTATAAGGCGACACTGCTGCATGTCAATGTTGTTTTAACTGCTTGTACCACTGCCAAAGCAAAAAAAATAAATCAATTGATGCAGCTTTAAATAAATATCCATATTACTAATGCTTCATTCTATCTTCTGAAGACTGCAATGGTGCCTTAGTAGTGTTGTGATAACACTAGCTGCCTCTTCCAATAATGAAGCTGATTATAAAACCAGCAGCTGTACAAGAGAGCTGTGCAGAAAACTCAATTACTTACTATTCCCTCCAAAGATCTTTAGAGTACATGAAAACACTGCATATTGGATACCACACTCAAGAGGCACATCAGAGGTCAAGCCTTGCCATTATGAACTTTTTTCAATCAGGTAAGACTGGCATTTCTGTATCAACCGCCCTTTAAAATATCTCACAGTAAAAATATACCCCCTTTAGCAGTGCACAATGAAAAGTAAAATTTTAAAAGTCCTCCAAGTTCAGGCAAGCCTCAGCAACTTCGCATTTATCACCACATCCTCTTCAGCCCTGCAGAGAGAGGCTTCAGATAGCTAGCGGGCCTGCAGGGTCAGTCAGAGAACAGGTTCTGATATGATAAACACTGTCTGGGGTCCTCGAAGGAGGCTGGTTGGGTCAGAGACAATTCCAGATCGACAGAGCCTGTGTCAATCCTGAGTAGGACATGTAAATGTTAAAAAGATTAAAAACTCATCATCTTTTTAGACGTGTCTCCCTCCTTTCCTTTTCCACCAATCACTAAACCCTGTGGAAAAACCCATAGAGGAGGAGGAGAGGCGGTGGAGCACAGGCTATTGGCAGTGGAGATAATAGACGAAGGCAAATTGCGTTTCTCATCAGAAGTTTCATTAACCCCAGGACCCGCGTGGAGGGCATAATCTGTAACATTACCACTTCCTCACGTTTCCAGCTCGCGCTTAGTCAAGTCACTGCACACCTTTCACTATGTTCAAAACAGGAAAGAAGAAAAAAAAAAAAGAAACGCACCGGGCTTCCAGTCCTGGCAGGCCGGTGCCATTTCTGATTTTCTCTTTTATTCACACTCATTCCTGATAATTCAATCTCATGTTATGAAATGCAACCTAACTGATCATTTCACATTTTCACAAGAGAACAGGAAAAGTCAGTTTCAAATGGAGCGTGATACAAGTTTCACACTCACATTTATGAACACACACACACTAAGTCACCCATATTTGTTTTATTGTTCTTGCTCGTCTTTCCCATTTTCCCATTTTCCAGCACCTGGAAGACATCTTTAAGCAGGCTATTAGTCCAGTGCAGTGTGTGGGCTATGGCATATGAATATTTATAGCACATGGGAGAAGGTGTAGGAGGTTCAACCTTGACTATGGTGTAATCAGCACACATACTGGCTCAGGCCATGATTTAGAGACAGCCGACCTGCTGAGAGCCTCACTCGATACCCGACTCTCATGGACACACATAATCAATGTCAGCCTCATTAAGGTCGTACCCTTTCAGGATTGGGCTGAACTTTGCAACTTTTTAACGAGATTCACATTTACATTTATTGTACCTTTTTTTGGGGGGGGGTTCCTTAAAAAGAGCATGCTTGATCAATCATCCAAGTTGACTTTTCTTTTCTCTCTTTCATAATATTTGGTGAGCTTTGTATATATCAGCCTGTGAGATGACCTTGCAAGGGCAGCATATGCAAAATACCTGAGCAAATGTCAACCAACACCACTGCTATGTGATATGGTAAATATAAGGGCCAATGCCTGGTAGGAGTCAGCCGTGGATAGAACTGCAAACAATGGTGACTATGGAGCAACAACAAAAATACAAACACATAATCACAATCCTTAACACTGTTGTGTTGTATCTGCACATATCTGAATGGAGTAATCATGGAGAGGTCTTTATTTATTCTGAAAGAGCTCTGCTTTTTCTCAAACTGTGTTTTTAAAAAGAATGGATATTGAAGGACTTGGCAGCAGCAATGACTACTTCATGTCCTCCAACACAAAATGTAGAACCTACATCCAAAACTGACCACTTCAGGATGCATAGATTTGTATGTAATCTGACAAAAACACTGTTAGTGCTGTGAAAGCAGCTTGCAGTTTCTAAATGCACTAAACAAACTCCACAACTGCACAAAACTAAGTGAGATATTGTCACATTTATCTTGTAATATGAAAATTAATTAGCACAAACAATGGAGGAAAAACTTTATTTAACATGGAGAAAAATAAAACTGTTGTGAAAGTGGCCCTGGAGCAAATGGAAAAACAGACTGAGTGAGTGTTTTTGTGGAATATAAATGAATAAATTTAATTGTCCCATTGTGTTACGAATGTACTAGACAAAAAGGCAGGTAGCTCACACAAATTTAGTGTCATATCGGAGAAGCCCTATGGCCAAATAAAAGTTTATCTCCACACACACACACACACACACACACACACACACACACACACACACACACACACACACACACACACACACACACACACACACACACACACACACACACACACTTCCCTTAATGAGGCCTGGTGGTTTGTTGTGTGAAACTGCGGAGGTGTCGTTTTAATCACTGGAGTCAGTGTGGCGTGGCATAAGTTGGCCTTTTTTAATTACCTTACTGATTGAGCACAGTCAAGGATGGGGAAGCCTGCCCACACCCTGGATGCCACCCTCTGAAGAACCAGCACCCACGCCCCATTCTGTACTTTGTAATGAACAGGTAACATTCAAATGTCCTCTGCAGGATATGTCAAGAGATAAGGGGCGTGCTCACACACTAAAGAGACAATAAAGCTAAAAAGATAGAGTGAGTTTATCCATGTGTTTGAGTCCTTATGTACACATTTAACTCAATATGCAATATCAGTGTAGTGTGATACTATATTATCTATAGTGACAGGGTTCAAATGTTATTAAACTCCCTGCTACCATCACAGTGTACATAAATTCCTTTGCACTTCTCAGTAGAGATTATATAGATTTTCCTTATATTGGGCTAACCTTTTACAAAAGGTAATCAAAAAACTTTATTTATTATGTTTCTGTTCCTAATCACTCCTTTGTATTCTATTTTTGGCAAGGTTGTGGTAAACAGTAATCCCAGTTTATTCTAATTATTATATTATAATTCTCTGTGGGTTTATCACTGCAAGTCACAGCTTTCACATATATGTGGTCATATGATCCATTGTTGGAATAAAAATGGAGGGGAGATTAAATGTTGAGAGGAAGAAAACTACTGTTTAGCCTCATGATTTTGAGTGCTCTCACTGACTGCAGGAAGGTGAAGGGCTATCATGACAGCTTGAGTTCCACAGTGACAAGTCAGAATGGAGGGCCACTAATTACAGCATCAATTTATTAACATTATTACAAGAAAGAATTAATCATTTCATTAACAATTTGGAAATGGCAACAAATCAAAATACGACCAAGGCTACTGCGAGGCCCATTTTTAAAATGAAGACTAATTACAAATTGTCCAAAAAAAGTTGGAGACATAAAGCTTAAGGTGGTTTAAAGTAAACACCCACACAATAAAAATGATTAAAATTCAATATAGTTGGACTTAAAATAAATCCTTGGACAGTTCATTCCATCCCAACCTTTACCTTCTAATTAACCATGCTACTGAAGAAGCACCCCATATATTTCAGGATAAAATGAGCCATTACCAAGAACAAATCATTTCTTCAGTTCTTATAAATGAGCATTCACTCCTGTTAGAACCAGCATGAAAAACGTTGGTACAGCAGCCTGTCAAAAAGGACCACCGCACAAATGCAGCAAAAACTAGCAAAAAAGCATTTAGTAAATTCTCACACAACTTCTCTATTGTCCATAAACAAAGAGGATTCATAATAGGTTTGTCTATGTCTTTACATTGATTAAGCTACCCTTGACCATCGGAATATTATACCGTTCCGATCAATACAATATTAGTGAACAACATCCAGTCATAAAGCAATAAATCTGGTGCTTTTCTCATTTGCCACAACTGTTTCCATCAGCATTTGTTTGTGAAATGTATTACAAAAAATTTTTTCAGCCTACTGGAATAAAACTCACCGGGCGGTGCAGCAGGAGGTGGTGGGACCAAACTTGACTCAGGCACTACCACTGGCTCAGGGACAGGAGCAGGGGATACTGGCTCCACTTGGGGCTGGGGAGGAGGTGCAACTGGGTCACAAGGAGCAGTAAACTCAGGAAGGGGAGGTGCAGCAAATGGCTCAGCAGGCTGCGGGGATAAAGTGTCCCCTGAATGATGTAGGACTGGCAGGATGGCGACAGGCTCAAAAACAGGAGGGGAAGAGAGGGGTTCCGACTCAGGAAGAGGGTGAGCAATGATGGGTTCAATCTTGACAGGAAGAGGAGGTGGTATGGGTTCAGCTACAGGTGAAGCAGGAATGGGTTCAATCACATGTGGAGGAGCAATGGGTTCAATTACTGGAGGAGAAGAAGCAACGGATTGATTTATGGGAGGAGGAGATGGTTCAATAACATGGGGAGGAGGAGCAAGCGGAGTGATCGCTTCCACCACAGCTGGAGCAGGGCAGGGAGCAGGTATCAGGGGGACAATGGGAGCGGGAGGAGGAGGAGCAGGGGGCAGAGGTGTAGGCAAAATTACCGGCTCAACAGTAGCTGGAGCAGGAGCAGGAGCAGGAACAGCAGAAGAAGGAGGAGAAGAAGGTACCGCCACAGGCTCAAAAGCAGGAGCAGTAACAGCATTGGCAGCAGCTGGGGGTGATGAAGATGGGAGCACCATGTCAATTATGGTGGGTGCTGCTACCTGTTCTGTAGGAGGCTGAGGAGGTGTTGGTGGAGGAGCAGCCACTGTCTCTGTGGCAAATGGAGCTGGTGGAGGATGAGCTGGAGGTGCAACAGGTTCTACAATAGGAGGGGGAGGAGGCAAGGAGGTGACCGGGTCAAAGAGGGGTGGCACTGGCCGCAGGAGAGGAGAAGGAGTGAGGGTAGGTGCCATGGAAGGTGGCGGTGTGGGGGCTGGTTCATGTTTAGGTGGAGTAACAGGTTCCCTCATGCGGTTGATGACATTCTCAGAGAGCTGCAAAGGAGAGTGGGAGAAAAGTTTCAGAGATGGATTTAAAGGAATAATTCAACATAAAAACCACACCATGTCACTTTTACATTTACTGTGTGTGCGGACTGAACAAACAACACAATAGGTTAATAAATGAGCTTTACAGATGCTGATTTTTGTAACTTTGGAGGGAGCCAGGTGCAGCTACTTCCCCTGTCATCAGTCTTTATGCTAAGCCAAGCCACCTCCTAGCTTCAAACTTCACAGATATGCGAGTGGTACAGATCTTCTCATCTAACTCTCAGCAAGAAAGCGAGTAAGGGTATTTCACTAAATCGTTCCTATGGAAAACTATACATTGTGTTTAACTGATGCAGACAAAGCTTTGTTTTCAATCTGTTTACGCAACCATGACATAATTGGCATAAACAGGATTACACCTCATTGAAAGATAACATTAGCCTCGCTTGGTTGGCTTGCCAACTGAGTAATAATAGACAAGACCCATGACAACTGAAGTCTTATCTGATCGACTAAAGCCTCTCAAATCTATATTTAACATCAGCTGACAGTGGCACAGAAGAACCTGTGACAGCTCCCAGTCGTTCCCTTTCAGCACTCACGACTCCCATGCACACGAATCCAATTCGCGAAAAGAAAAACATTATCTACAACCTAGACAGCGGCAGCGTGCCCGGTTCGAGTCCGGTTCGAGTCCGGTTCATTCATACGCTGACTGACAGACAGCCGAGCATGAGGCTGGTGACGTCAATGTCAACATCACCCACACAAGGGCATTCAAAAGTTTACTCAGACTAAAATCTATAAGCTTCTTGTCAACTATTATGTTGTTACACTTAATGCTTCAGACTGACCGGTGAAGCTTTCAGAATGAATGAAAGTCGCAATAACAACTTAACTTAGCTCGCTGCTATTAGACACGCCATATAGCACTCTTAGTTAGTAAAGCATTTACGACACAGCCAGAATACGCCATTGCACTAACTGTTCAGTTAGTCAGGGAGTCGTGAAACACTGTTTACTCAACACTAAAGCAGGTTTGTATCATCTGTCACCTACCCGTATGCCCTTCACCACCGTTATATTCTCGTTCTCATCTGACTCAAATGAGACGCGGCGGGTACTGTTACTCGCTCCCATTGTCAGACCGCAGGTTGCCAAAGGGTCAGCTATCTACATGTAATACGGGAGACAGTCCACTTTTTTGTTTTTGTACAGTTGTTCTGCGTTAGAGCCAGGTATTGCTAGCTGGGGCCCACACGCCACTGCTTTGGCACGTCAACGCTTCCTTAGCATGACGTGGTTGAAGAACGTGTGAGCTGATTGGACGGAAGCGGCGGCGTCTTTGCATCGGGGATTGTTATTGGTTGTTGTTTGCAAGCGATAGAGTGGTAGTGTGAGAGCGCCACTTGACCGACTTTCTCCTGTGTTCATCAGCAGCATGCTCGATGTTTGGTGTATGACTTTTGTACAGCAATATCCAGAAAGAAATAACTAGTATATTCTAGTTTTCCCCCCATACATTGTCAAGTTGTGCCATTCATTAATTAAATTGCCTGAAGTAGGCAACAATATATATTCAGATAAGACATAAATCATATGCTTTGAATGTACACATATTATTTTAATTATAACAAATTATATAATATTTTAACACAAATAGCGGTACAAGAATTATGCCTGAATATTCAGTTTAGTACTTGATAATGTCAGTTCTCTGCTACTCTAAGGAAATAATTTGGTATTAACTCAAAATTATTTTTGGCTTGGTATCCAGCCGTACGTGAATTTCAATTGTTGCATACTTTTAAATAAATATTTAATAAATTATAGTTATTGTTTGAACTCAACACAAATACTGGTCTTGTTTTTGTGTGTGTGTGCGTGTTGTTGCTCATCTTGAGCTCACATAAAGAGAAAAGAAAAGAGTAGAATTATAGTAAGAATATGAGAGATGGAATGAGAGGAGGAGAGAATATACATCCCAATTGATGGACAGTGTCGTCAGATTGATTTTAAAAATGCAGAATGAGTTGCCAAACCCAACAGGGAAAGCAAAGGCAGCCCCGGAAATTGAAATAGAGCTGCAATAAGAAAAGAAGGAAAGGGAATATAAATGGAAACCAATTACATAGCCGGTTTCAGTGCCCATGTTCTGATTGAGAACCTTAGCTTCTGAACTGGTCCAACATCCTGAGACTCACTGTCATGCTGTAGAATATAGCAGTCAGATCACTTTTGTGTCCTATACTGTCAATACTTTCTCCTCAACTTGTATGTTCTGTCTGTGTTCCTGACAAATAAATAACTTACAGTCTTTTGCATCACATACTCTGCCACTGAAGTTCATTGCATATCCTGCTGTCTCTCTCTACCACCAATGGCTAATTTCTTTGCTACTGATATCACGTTTAAACCACTTTTGAAGGGTGTATCTCTCTTCTCTCTATCCTTGTCTTCCCTCACTTTGTTTCAGACGTCTCTTAAACCATCAACACCTTATTGATATTTCTCCCAGTACGTGTCTTTGTTATTTGTATAGCAGAATATCTAATCCTGGGAATTAATGTGTGAACAACAAATGCTGATTTTAATTTGTGGAACAATGAGGCAGAACTGATATAATAAAAGAAGGCTTTATTTGGTCGTGAGGTGGCTTACATTCAGTAACAGGCAGCCTGTCATAACAGACAAACAAATCCAAAGGAGCAAGGCAAGCAGGGATAATCAAAGACAGAAGATAGATCAAACGTGGTAGGGGTAAGCATGCACAAGCTTAGAGCGCTTTAAGGCAACATAGACAATTTGACAAACAACAGTGGTGAGCAACCTGGGAAACTATCAGGCAGCAGCAACAGACAGGTGAAAAGATGGGGTGATAGAAAGTATGACATTGTCTGGGATAACCAGGGATGTTAAGCAAACAAAACCCAAAATTAAATATGCAGATGAGTAGGAGACAGCAGACGAGGGAGAGGAAAGAGAAGGAGTTTCTATAACAGAGATGTTTGACTGAGACTGCATTTTGGACACACAGCATTAACCAGCCCCGCTCTTCAGACAACATGATAATTGACTATATAAGTTATTGGTGAATCACAGACATCTCAGTTCTTAATTAAGCTTGTTTGCAACTGTATAATAACATTCTGCTATTACTGCTATTGCATTTTTCTTATACTCTAACTATAAAGAGTACAAAAAGAGTACAAAATGAGAAGAAAAGCTATTAAATCCTATTCCACTGGAACATCTGATACAAGACAATCCCAGACAAGACAAAAAGCATCTTCCCAAGATTCAATATTGTATGAAAAAAAAGATAGAATATACTTTCATCAATTGTGAATCACGTCAGTGCAGAAAGGTCAAGTGTACTTGCTGAACATTCATCTTAAGGTCCATCATCAGCAGGTATTTTATCAAGTAGTCAATAAATCAGCCGTTTTAAAGATGTACAGTATATTGATTTTGAAATAGATTCAAAAAAACTATTGTGTGTTAAGAGAATCCATTTAAAAGTATATATTTCATGAAATATCAGTTTCAGAAACTAATACAGCCTGGCAGGACATAAAATAGCGGCTGGAAATTTGATATGCCTCGAGAAGAAAGGATATTATAAGGCATGACACATCATAAGAATCATCCTCTGAACTTGATATATTATACACACACAATAACCTAATACAGTTTTCTATAATGCTCTTTTCTGCTGATTTTTGTGGTTTTGTGTTTTCTGCATTGCATACGTTGGCAATGCTGTGCAAACATAAATCAATCAAAACCTTTTTAAGAATTCATTGTTGTTGTGTATACTGTAACATTATTGAGAAATTCCATATACACAGTGGGCTCACATTCAGATCTTCTACACAATATAAACATTGATCAAATACATATTTTAATATAATATACTATCTACCAGAATGGCTGACAGTGCTGCATGTGCAAAAGAAACATATAAAATTCATATATGAACTGGAAAAGAAAGCTAAGGATAAAGATTTTAAAGTGAATTAGAGGACATCAATCACTAGGAATGTGAAGATATGAGGTATGCCTTGAAAGAAATTTGATGACACAAAGCAGTTATTCAAACTATGAAAACAAAGAAGGTAATGGCCAAGTGTGCACGGCAGGACCATACCAATCAATTTGGTCAGTATACGATATGTATTTGGGGATACTGATATGCATTTACCCACAAATGAACAGATTATGAAGTTGTATTAATTTTTCATTTTCTGTGGTGCTCTGCGATAATACAGAAAGTATTTGAAGTGTGTCATATTGTCATGAACAGATTTCCCCAAGGGGAATCCCTCACAGCTACAACATGAACAGATTACATAATAAAGAATTAGAATGTTCAGTAATGCCCTGAGGGTACTCTCTGAAAAGCCTCAGGCTGTATTGAATACAGAGCTTATAGAACAGAGACATGATTGAATGTTATGGTGTGGAAAACAGCCTTGCTTGCTTTTTGTGACAGCATTATTATAGAAAACAAGATTATTATTAAGACTGATCCCTGACTCTGATACTGAGCAATTATGCTGCTTGGTGATTTGGTTAACATATTGGCAATACTTCATTCAGTAACCATATGCGCGGGAGAGAGAGACAACTATTTTTTCCTGCATGTCCAGTATATTATTAGATTATACTCATGTTACTGCTACCTAAATGTTTGATGATGTGAATATAATTTGCATCATTACTTATCATCCTGTTTTCACACCTTGCATGCTGAATTATGTGAATCAGTTAACCTTTTTTTTTGTTACTTTAAACCTTCCAGGGAAACACCGAGAAAATTGCTTTTGTTGCTATTATTGGCTGAAAATCTGCTACCTCAAAGCAACTCAAAGATCACTCAAGTCATAATACAGACATGACGTGGTCAAGTTATGCACTTCATAGTGTGGATATCTACTTTTACATCTTGCTTTATCCTCTAAACCAATATACAGTATTTTAGTACTACCTTTAGGCAATATATCTAATCAAATTTTGCCTTGATCTTGTGATGTTTGACTTGATTCCACATTAGGAATCCATCAGTCTTTATCTAATGCGATTTATCTTTGTGTTATTTCAGCAAAATTGAGTATGGAAAGAAAAGAAAAAAAATAATAAAATAAAATGTTTGCTGTGCTGTATCCTAATGTAGGTGGTGCATTAAATTGGAGATATGAGACACATGTTTTGTTTTATCTGATTCAAGATCATATGAAAAATCCAGAAGGCATAAAATAGATGCAATGTTTTGCTGTTTCCCTCAACCACATTTCCATGGAAACAAGTAAAGAAGTATCTTCTTCTTAATCACCAAGGGATGACATTTTGTTACAAGTTTCCAAGGGGTGTCACTGAAGAGGTGTAAATACTGTATTTACACAACCCTCTTGTTTTTCTGTGGTATTTCTCTCATGATAATTATTAAAGCTATTATCATACATTAACAGTGACTCATCAGTTAAATAGAACCCCAAAATTACATAAAACTAGATTCCTAAGACCAAACACATGAATTATTTAGTGATCACAAGAACCATATCTAAAGGAAAGCACTGCCGTTTAAATGCATGCTTCTGCTAATGGAGGTCCTCTTATCTTAATCCATATCATCTGCTATTTCTTCAATAACCATATACTGTAATTATGTACTGAAAAGTTGTATTGGAAAAGTGGCATCACCATTATTCAAAGTACTATAAAAGTTACCTTTTTCAAAGTATCTACACTTTCTTTACTAAAGATTAGATGAAGGACACAGAGTAATTGAGATGCAGCATTTGCATTTAGATCTATACATTAACAGATCATAAAGGCATGTCCTACAAAGACCTTATTGCCCTTGTATTTAATCCACACACGGGTCAGTCAGTCAAAGCAATTACTTAGTGTCCAAACACACATCAGGCTGAAAGAAATAACCTTGGCGCTGCGTTATTGGAGAAAAGAAGCCCTGTAGATTAGTTGGACTGATGGGACATGGGCTGCAGGGAAAGGTGATAAGAACTTCAAAATTAAACTTGGACCTGGGAGGCCAGGCGCCTTCCAAAGAAAAACAGTGGCTCCTGCATGACACAGCGATTGTTTCTTTTTTTTTTTGGAGGAGACACAAAGATCACCCACAATGTTATCTCGTCGGTCCACCAGCGCATCAATCAAGGCCCAGGCTGTTGGGAATCGACCCCCTTTGCTCCAGAATCAATGCCCTCTCCCATTCTCATTGGTACAGCAGAGATTGTCAGAGATACAGTGCAGGAGAGACCTGCCAAATCCAGCACT